TTTGATAGAGGACTGCTTGCGATTTAGGGTGAGATTAATGCATTTATCGACATTGAGCTTCATATTGTAGTTAGCTGATTCCGTCTGTATTTGTCGCAAAAGCTTGTTAATTGTTTGGGTATGCGTACCGAACAATAATGTGTCGTCTGCATATAGGACTTCTGCATAGTTTATGCCTGGTATAGGCTGTAGCTGCTTTGGCGTGTTTAAGACTGTCTTGATGTCCTGGAAGATTGCTGTCATTAGAACTCCAAAAAGGTACGGCGATAAGGGGCACCCTTGTCGAATACCTGAATTTTGTATCTGATAATCGGAGCGGACGTTACCTTTTACTACTCTAAACTTTGCTTGTTCATATATGTTTTGGATAAGGCAGATTATACGTTGAGGTATGCATAGCCGTGCCAAAACTTCAACAAGTTTGTCCTGGTCTACTTTATCAAATGCTTTCTCCCAATCTAACAGTACCAACGTGAGATTTGTTCCTTGCCTTTCTGCCATATCCATAAGCCTTCTTGCAATGAACAACGCTTGCGACGTTGATTTCTTCTTGCGGAAACCATATTGGGTTTTTGATATCCACGGCTCTAGCGCAGGTTCCAAGCGGTTTTTAATTAGGGCTGCCAGTATTTTGTAAAAAGTTTGCAAGAGTGCAATTGGGCGGTAGTTTTCCAATTTTGCTGGATCTCCTTTTTTGTAAATGGAAGCAATGTTGGACAAGTTTAGAGATGCGGGGTAGGTGCCCTTTAGCAGTATTTCATTGAAGTGCACTAACAATTTGGCTCTGTTGTCAATGTGCAACCATTTTACTAGCTCTGAGGTAACCTCATCAGGGCCCGGACTCTTGTTACTTTTAAGCCGTTTGACCACTGCGTTAAATTCTTCAAGTTCAAAAGCAGACTGGTTAACTGCTGCGCCAACCTCTGAGAGAGAGGCGTTATTTTGTTCATGTGCAGCTTCTGGTTTTTTCCATTGCACACTGGTCAAGTATTCTGCTGCCGCAGCAGGGAAACTGTTTTCAGGAATTGGGTTGCCGTCTTTATCTTTGAATTTTGTATGTCTCGGGAAGAACTTTTTCTTCATTTGCTTTAAGCCTTGCCACTTATACCCTTGCTTATCCATCTCTTCTAGTTGCTGCAGCATACTCTTTCTTTTGTCTTGGCGAATTTGTTTTCTTAATTGCTTTTCAAGTTCCTTGGCAGTTTCCGTACTTCCTGCATGGTTATGTTGACGCTTCTTGTATAAAAGGCCCCAGGCCTCTGCTGAGCTGTAGGCTTTCCTTTGCGCTGGAGGAAACATGGTAAATGCATTGTTAGCTGCTTCATGTAAGATATCGGCCCAAAGCTTTAGTGGGTCGTCTGTAGTTTGGGATATTCTGTCCTGAACTAGTTCTGCAACCTGCACGTTGTATTTATCAATTTGATTTTGCGTGGGAGGTCTGTATTTTGGTCGTTTTGTTGATTCCGCATAACGACGCTTCGCAAGCTTCACACGCAGATTAGCAACTAAAAGCTTATGGTCTGTTGTAATTGGATGAAAGCAACTAGATTCAGCGTTGGTAATCGCGTTTTCCCATCTTGAGTTGATTAGTATAAAATCCAACTGAGCAAAACGTGATGTCGTGAAAGGTTCCGAAAAGTTGGGGGTTGTGGTATTGCGGTACGTTACGAGTTTCGCAGGATCCTTCTGAAATAGTGTATTTGCAGCGACGAGGTGATTGTCTTGACACATAGAGATAAAACGTTCCCTATTGTCTTGCTGTTGTTCAGTTAATAGGTCTATGCTATCTTCGCGCGTGCCGAAAATATGTTCGCCTAAGATCGTTTCTTCATGTGGAAGTCTTTCCATAAGTCTGACATTGAAGTCGCCAATAGTTAAAATAATGTCATGTTTTGGTAACTTACCCAGAATTTCATTAATTTATCATAGAAATCGTCCTTTTCCCTTTGGGGACGAAGCGCATGTGGGGCATAGGCAACAATAATGTGGGTGCAGAGTGGTCGTGTGTCAAAAGTTGCGACTAGGAGTCGCCCATCTATCTGTTGTATATTTTTCTTGTAATGCCGAAGTTTGTCACTGTACACTAACCCAACTCCATGTTTCTCCGCATCCAGGTTGTAGAGCTGTATTTCGGACAGACCTGTGTTTGCATATTGCTTGTGTTGTTCTCTTTTTTGCTCGGCGAACACTTTGGTTTCATGAGAAACTCCTGATGAGAAGTAAAAAGTGTATTCATCATGTTCTTCCTTTGAGCAGTGGTTCACCCTTGTTTCTTGCAAAGCTAGAATTTCGATGTGGCTTTCTTTCATTAGATGCACTACTTTTTGCCTACCGGAAATGTGTGTAATCCCTCCTCCTAGATTTAATGTAGCCATCCTCATGTTCGACCACTTCAGTCTTTCATGGGTTTGAGTATTTTGCGTCATGGGCTGATCTGATTGAATTATGGTACTTTCGGTAGAGCATTCTTGAGCTACTTGATAAGAGTTATACTGCGTAGCCTTAACAGTATAACACTTCCTCAACTTACGGTATTCTTTGCGCCTTTCTTGTCTTCTCTGCTTTCGGTTGGCTTTTCGCATGATTTCAGCAATGAGAGACCTTTTGTAAATTCGCCTAGTAGAGTTTGCTTTTGCTGTGCTTTTGCTGTTTACTGGTTGAGACTTCGGGTCTGTCACCTTTTCGTTCCCACTGCTCGTTGAGCTGCGGGGCTCCCGCCACTCCATGGGGGGGAAGGTGTAAGCAATGTCATTTGTCACACGCTGGAACGCTTGTTTGGCTCGTCCATAAATGCCTTTGTTTGTGTACTTGTTTCGTGTGTTGTTACAGTTGTCAAGCTTTTGCCCCCTGACCCCGACCTGACCCTACCCGGGCCGTGTCCCTTTCATTTCTTTCACGCCAGAGAGGTACCATTGCTCTTGCGGACAGACGGAGCCGTCTGGACGACGGTGGAGATTTTTCACTCGCGTTTGTGCTCTCGTCCTTCCTTCGTGGCCGCAACTTGGGCACGCGACCAGTCGCGCTTGTCCAGGCCGCGTCGCTTCGACGGAACATGCCTCCACCGTACGCACATCCGTGCTGTCCCCCTCCTCACTCAATGACGACACGAGTCGCTGCCGACGTTTCTCCCCGTCTTCACCCACTGACGGGGAGTCTCTCTGTCGGAGAATCTCATGGACCTGCTTCCACACCTGGTTGACAGTTCGTTTCCGACGCGTGCTGCCCACAAAGCGACGTGCGCGATCGAAGCTGACGCGTTCAGCCGGCACGGGTTTCCCGCCGACTTGCCGAGCGCAGCGCTTGCAATGTCCTGTCTTCCCGCCACGTTTCCACTGCCGTGCACTGAACATGTCTTCTGTCCGGACATGCCCGCACCGGTAGCAGCGTCGGTCTGCCATGCAAGAATTGCAGACACGGCTCCACGTCTTCCGCGGATTTTTGGCTTCTTTTGGAAAACATGCTATCTCCTGGAAGTTCAAGCACACGGCGCATCGCCAGGGTTTGTTCTGCGCGCAACCAAGCGCTGGGCATTCCGGACGGCATTGCTGGACGGGGACATTGCGAGAAGCGCCCTACTAGCCTGCGATGCTTCGTCAATGTCAAACATCGCGTCAATGTCGTCAACATTGAAGATAAAACAGCACTGATGCATACCACTGTTTCCAATCTGCTGCAAAGCTCAAGAAGGACGCGCTGCAGCCTGCTTTATACTGTTGAAGGGCCAGATAGAGAAACTCAAAGCGTAAAGGGTTTTAGAACTGGAGACGAAATGGGAGCCTGCCATGACCTGCATGGTCGAGCAACAGGGGCTGGTAATGGCCCCATGCCTAAAGGAACCCGACCCAGCGAAGGACGTAGAACTGAGGGGGCATGACGGAAGGGGGACGCCAAACAAGATTAGTTTGTGTCTGCTGGCGCGTCCTCCCTTACAATAGAAGCAATGTCGGAAGCATCGGAAACATCTCAGATACGAAATGGAATGTGAAAACAACCATGAGTAAACGCATGGGCCGACCCCACACGCGCACCGACCCCCCGGTTCCACGGGGGTCGGCGGCAGCGGCGTTAGCCCTTAAATCGGGCAGCGCGAGGTCCCCAAAGGACCGAGCAAATGCCGACCTTTTAGCCCGGGTCGTCCCGGGAATAGCCTTGCTGGCCTCTGGCCTTCTGCGAAGCAGAATTAGGCCGGACGCCAGTGCCGCCGACCCCCGCGTGCCGCCGGTGAACGGCTTTTTTTTCGTGGTTTTTTGCGTCGCCACGGAGGCCCCCAGAGGGCGCGCATCATGAGTATCAGTGGGTCCAGCCCGGGACCCCCACGCGCGCATCAGGAGCATCAGCGGCTCCCGGGGCGGGACCCGGGGGCGCATCAGGAGCATGATGCCCCCCAAAGGGCGGGCATAAGCGACGTGTCTAAGCCCGGGGCTAGGAAAAAGGGAGTTTAGGGGCCTTATAAAGTGCTTAGAAACGTTAAGGGAGTCTAGGAGCCTCAAACGCTTAGAGATTTGAAGGGAGTTTAGGGGCCTGAACATGCTTAGAAACTTAACGCTTAGAGATTTTAAGGGAGTTTAGGGGCCTCAACATGCTTAGAAACTGCTCGCCCCGGGCTTCTGCGTGCGCTGCCCGCCCATGGGCGCAGCCCCTTAAAATATACACACACACACACACACACACACACACACACACACACACACACACACACACACACACACACACACACACACACACACACACACACACACACACGCCCCACAACCTCGGCACGCCAAATGCCAGCGCAATCACAGATTGTGACCCTACTTTGCCTGCTCCCTCATTAATTGGTTGTTACGTGGTGTTCTATTGGGTGGTAGTTTGAAACCTTCCGATGTTCATTGGCCTCTTCCTCCCTTTTCTTTTGATGTTGTACGTGAGGGTCCTTACTAGGCAATTCTTAGGGGCCCAGTGACCTTTTAAGGGGGCCTCGGGCGAGGCACAGCCTTGAAAAGCAATTGGGGCCCGGCCTCCTTGGTGTTGACCCAGCGCGTCATCTGATTGATGTTGAGCGGAGTCATCGAGGCCGAGAGCTCACCGATCTGCACCATGGCCTATAGGTCGTGGGCTCTTTGGGGAAGAAGGGCTTTTGTGTGTGTGTGTGTGTGTGTGTGTGTGTGTGTGTGTGTGTGTGTGTGTGTGTGTGTGTGTGTGTGTGTGTGTGTGTGTGTGTGTGTGTGTGTGTGTGTGTGTGTGTGTGTGTGTGTGTGTGTGTGTGTGTGTGTGTGTGTGTGTGTGTGTGTGTGTGTGTGTGTGTGTGTGTGTGTGTGTGTGTGTGTGTGTGGTGTGTGTGGTGTGTGTGGTGTGTGTGGTGTGTGTGGTGTGTGTGGTGTGTGTGGTGTGTGTGGTGTGTGTGGTTTGTGTGGTGTGTGTGGTGTGTGTGGTGTGTGTGGTGTGTGTGGTGTGTGTGGTGTGTGTGGTGTGTGTTGTGTGTGTGGTGTGTGTGGTTGTGTGTGGTGTGTGTGTGTGTGTTGTGGTGTGTGTGGTGTGTGTGGTGTGTGTGTGTGGGTGTGGTGTGTGTGTGTGTGTGTGGTGTGTGTGGTGTGTGTGTGTGTGTGTGTGTGTGTGTGGTGTGTGTGGTGTGTGTGGTGTGTGTGGTGTGTGTGTGGAGGGGGGGGGTGGGTGTGTGGGTGTGTGTGTGTGTGTGTGTGTGGTGTGTGGGTGTGGGGTGTGTGTGTGGGTGTGTGTGTGTGTGTGTGTGTGTGGTGTGTGTGTGTGTGTGTGTGTGTGTGTGTGTGTGTGTGTGTGTGTGTGTGTGTGTGTGTTGTGTGTGTGTGTGTGTGGTGTGTGTGTGTGTGTGTGTGTGTGTTGTGTGTGTGTGTGTGTGTGTGTGTGTGTGTGTGTGTGTGTGTGTGTGTGTGTGTGTGTGTGTGTTGTGTGTTGTGTGTATAGCTGCTTGCACCCCCCCCCCCCCCCGTGCGCGCCTTCTTGATAGTAGCCACCGCCTCGTTCACATCTGCCACAAGCTTGGGGTCGTCGAAGATGCCGCAAGGGACCTCGAAGGTTCGAACGAATACAGCCCTGAAAGACAAGTGTCTCACATGCCCGCCCGGCTTGATTTGCCGGTGCTTGAGGGCACAATGGATGCTTGATGCATGCTGAGGATTGCAAGCAGCATAGCAAAACGACCTGGCCTGGCAGTGTCCACCGCGGAGGCGCAAGACCAAGTGAAGGGTAGACTCCTTGATTCAAAAATGGGTTGCTTGGGAGGGATGTGGCGGGTCGGCCCGTGGAAGGGTGACAGCTGAAGCCACAGCTGGAGAAGATTTGAGAACCCATACGCTGCTGAGAGCTACGCCCACGCAAGCATCAGGATTTGCACAGCAGCTCCAAGTAAGCTTTATGCTCTTTCATCCCCACAGGGCCGCGTAACTAGACCAGAGATTTGAGAGCCTACAAAACGACAAGCACCTGCATCTTGTCCAGGCCTGGTGCCATAGTTGCATAGTACTCATAGGATGCCCCGACTGCACTCCTTCTGGATGTTGTAGTCGGACAGAGTGCGGCCATCCTAGCACAGCCGTGTTCCTCTGAACGGGGTGAGGTGTCAACCACGAACTTGGTTCAGCACATGCTGGTGCTACTAGTAGGGTTGAGTCCGGCATCCGATAGCGTGAGGACAGCACGCCGTGCAACAACTACAAGTCATCCGCTGCGTGGTTTCGCAAAACCGCAGCATCCGTCACACCATCGAGGGTCTGCTGATTTCACGGGAGACAAATGGCAGACAACTGAGACACAAACAACCTGGCTCCAAACAAGTGACCAACACTCCCAGACCGGCGTCGCAGCATCCAGGGTCGGCTCACTTCACCAAGAAAGGACAAATAACATGGTGCGAGACATAACCGTCATAACCCTTCCCTAAACAAAATCAGAACCCCCCGCACAAGCTCAGAGACGAATGGGGCACCTGTCCCAGCGGGTGACACATCGGAGACCAGTCTCCCCGATGGGCGTCACTGCATCCAGCGTCGAGACATATGGGAGACAACAGCGTCATGCCGTTGTGTCTGTTTTGTCCCCCTCCGTAGAGTGAGCAAACCTTGGATGCTGTAGTGCCCGTCTGGGATTGTTGTCTCTCATTTATCTCCCTCTGTATTCAGAGCAGGCACCCTGAAAGCGGCGATGCGAGCGTGTGGGACTGTTGTCTCCCTTTGTTCCCCAAACAGCTTCAGATGGGGTTCCCATTTTGTCTAAGGAAAGGATTTCTGTGATGTTCAAATTTGGTATTGTCACGGAACTACTCTAAAGACATGTCTGTGATTTGTCTCCGATTTGTCTCTCGGCTGTCTCGACGCCTGGGATTCCATTCCCCTTGTAAATTGAGCAGACCCTGGATGCTGCGACGTCCATCTGGGACTATCGCCTCGTACTTGTCCCCCTGTCCCCAAGCAGCTCTGGCTGCGTTCTTCATGTGTTTAGAAAAAGGGTCTCTGACGTTTATTTGGGGTTCTCATGGCATGCGACTGCTGTCTTCAATTTTGTCTCCCATTGGTCTCACGTTTGTGTATGCTTTGTCTCCCCCTTGTCTGGGCCCCTGGAAGAACGCGACGCCCATCTGGGACTGCTTATTCCCCATCTGGTAGACAAATGAGAGACCCAGGCGCGCGTCTGCGGCATCCAGCGTCGAGACATTTGGCTCCCGGAGATCTTAATCCTGCTGAGCCCTCTCAGGCCTCCAGCTGCTTTCCAGCAAAGATCAGGCGCTGCTGGTCCGGAGGGATACCTGTCGCAGACGGAAGCTTTTAGTGGTCCATGCCAGCTATCAACACCTCAGCGCGACTTATTCTATATAAGCTGTCCATGCCACTCGACTCCATGTGTCGCATTGCTCGTGCTCCAATGCACTTCCTCTCGCAAGGCCCTGTTGAGGTGATATCTTTCACAATGCGGGTTCTAGCTTTTGGCACGGAGCCCGGATCTTGGCAAACGAAGGAGCAGTTGCTCGCTCGAACATCCCGACGCTTGCGGACTGTCAGGCAGCCACGATGCCTTCCTTGTCCTGGATCTTTGCCTCGACATTGTCTTTGCAGGGTAAACTGGTAGCAGGCGCCATGCTGGACCACACCAACAAACGTGCCAAAGACCAAGCAGACCGACTAAGACGTGGTGACGGAGTGTTTGACGGACGGGGCCTGGCCTTGACATTGTCGATGGTGTCTGAGGCCTTCACAGGGATGTACCTCCATGTACCTCCATACACCTCCATGTACTTCCATGTACCTCCTGCATCTCATACAACAAGAAGCACCCCTGGCCTCCACATCCAGGGTAATGGTCTTTCCCGTCCTAAAGACGTGGAGGTTTGCAAAGTTTGCATGAAAGATGGGGAGCATGCGGACACAAAAGCGAAACAAAGGGAGCAAAAGGCTCTCTCTCTCTCTCTCTCTCTTTCTGTCTTTCTTTCATGGGGAATAAGGGTCGCTCTCTCTCTCTCTCTCTCCCTCCCTCCCTCCGTCCCTCTCTCTTTCGACTTGTAGACCATTCATGTACTTGATAGCAGCTGAGAATCAAGGTCTTCACGAAGATCTGCATGGCGGAGGTGACGGGCCAAGAGGAAGCACAGTACGAGCAGCGGAGATTTGAGCTCTGAAATTGCTGCGTGCCGCAGATGCTCACCTCTGCTCGGACAGATGCCCCCTCTTTCGAGCCTCACCTGCTTCTGAACATGGGGCCCCATGAAATGGCAGGGACCCCAAGGCATCAGCGCACTGCATTCTAAGCCCCAAACGAGCTCAAAGCAGTCTGCATCTCATTTCCCACAAAGCTCAGGATGCGACGCGCAAGCATCCGCTTTGAGATTTTTGATGGTGGTGTCCTTGGCCTGGGCTCAAGAGACGCACTCTGGCCAGAGGCCAGGCAACACAGATCACGGCAGATTACGCCAAAAACAAAGTGTGCTGTTACAAGCTTGCCGCCACAAAACGACATGCCATCAGAGTGTTAGGGACATGGTGTGCGACCGCACGGGCCGATGAAAGTTCCCAAAGCTAGGCTTGTCCCGATCTGGCTCGATCAGCGCATCATCAGTTTCCTCAGCCGCCGCCTCAAACCGACGGGGCTGAGAACTGAACCTTTGTGGAGGGAACGACGTTCCTTCTCCCAGGCCCCACTGCTGACAAGTTTTGACCAGACCAGAAAATTTGGAAGCACGATCGTGGACAATAACTTAACCCAAAACGGACACGAGCGGGCCATTCTAACAACACAGAATTAACGGTTTTTCCCCAACCCCAGACCTACCCGCTGTAGAGAGGGCAGAACATTCTAACATCATAACTTCTACGCTTCTGCGGGATTACAGAGGCAGCCGCAACACGATAAGTCTGGTGGTACTGCTTCTCGGCATGGGGTACCGCATAGGTGACGAGCACCGTTTCTCGGAGGCCACCTGAAAACAAGCGAGGCTGAGAGGACATAGCTTGGACCAGGCCTTGCTGAGGTCAAGGCGTTCCTGCTCAATGATTGCCTCTGGCCTTATGACAGCATCAGCACGCCATCAACTCAAACTTTGATAAGGGGGCCGCGAAAGGGCAGTGCGGCAGAGCAGTCCATTCACTCCTGCCTTGAATACATAGACGTAGTGCAAGGATTTTTTCTCACTCTTGCTGAACGTAGAGGTGTGCAAAACAATGGGGTTTGCATGCGCAGGTTTTGTCACCGTGGGTAAAGTAGCTGGGGGTGGGGCCAGGCACCAGATAAAGGAGAACTACACTGAAAAAGACGCATGTGTCTTCAAGCCGCTGAGCACTGGGCTTGAAGACCATCAGGCGCGAACCCTCGTACTCCTTAAAGCCAAACCTTGGCAAACAGGTTGAAACAGTGTCACAAGGTGACGTGGCTGAGAGCGCCACTAGAACCTGCAAGTAGAAGCGTCTTGCCGGCACGCTTCTCACTCATTCAGAAGCGCAGGGCAGCATCCGCGAGTACGATTCATCCTCGAGCTGAATCCGAAGGCCCTCCTGAATACTAGTGTCTCAGCGTGCGGCGGCGTGCGCTCGATGCGCTGCTGGTTGGACATCTGCTCATGGTTCATGGCAAACCCACAACGTTATGCACACGTGTGGCTCCTGCTCTGCTCTGGCTGCTTCGGACGCCTGGCCTCCATCTGCAGCTCCCTCTCTATCAAGTTGCGGGCGCTGGCTTGCCACTGCTCTATCACCTGGCAGCACGTTTCCAGCATGAAAGTCTTCAAACAGGAATCCTGCTGTCCACCGGGGGCAACAGTTCTCAAGTACAGAAACACAGAGAGTCGAGGGTTTGCGCTGTGCCAACCGTCGAGAGCCCCCCGCATTATCGCCTGGGCCCCATCGTCGTGTGGATCGCCATGGAGGCTCAGAACCTTGGCTTCACCCATCTTCTGCTGGCTGCCAGATCAAAGTCAAAATGCAAATCGGCGCTCACATCCAAGCCATCCAACACCTCTTTGAGAAGCCGGCTCCCTTCTTGGAGGACCTGGCGAGATCCAGTGCCGGCGGGAGGATAGTTCAGAATCTTCTGCACTATCAGGCCTGTCGGCGCGGCGTCGGTTGATCTCCTGCTCTGCAAAGAACTCCAGCTTTCCTCGACTCCATGCACACATTTCTTGAGGAAAGCGGCGAGTTCTCGACTGAAGCAAGAACCCCGCAAGGGTCCCCCCCCCCACCCACCCCTCTTTGTTCCCCCCTGAGCCACGGGCGCTTCTCCGCTTCGACTTGCCGGCTGCAGAGCTCTTGGTTGGTGGTCTGGGCAGTGCTGGGCAGTCCGAGCATTCTGCATTCATTCTGCATTCATTCTGCATTCATTCTGCAGCTGCCTTCAGCTTCTCCTCCAAACGCTCCACGTGCTCTTGACCTTCAAGATGCTGCTGAGCATGGTGCGAAGTGAAGGGTGCCGCTCATAAGCTGGGCAGCGGACGAAGGGACCTCTCGACTTGAAGCTGCTTGAGATACTGCCGGCAGGCGTACAGATCCAAACCTGCCCGGAAAGAAAAGTTGCGCCCAAGGGAAAGAGGCCCCAAATCAGGCAATGGTCCAAAAGCCAACAGCAGGTGGTGTCGAAGCGGCCATCCTGGCCCTTGATGCGTCATCGCTACTTCAGGACTCTTTGGCATTTCCCTCTCTTCAGGGCGCCTTGGATGGCATCTTCCAGCTCTGCGTCCTTTCAGAGGCGTGCTGAGTGTCTTACGCACTAGAGTCACTAGAGTCTGCCGCTGAGTCATTGCTAGTCACGTGTATGATTTGAACCCACGAGCACGTTCCAACTGCAGCGCCTTGTGTAGCAGAGCCATTGGCGTGAAGTTGGCTGCGCCTGCCAGATAAACCGCTTGCGAGCTTAGCGGCCACTGGGTTTACGGAGGATCTGAAGCTGCAACGGGCAAAAGAAGGTGCACGATTGCACCAGCATCGCCACTATACTCGTGCAAAGTGCGAATTGACGTCAAGACGCCATACCGCGGCCTCTTCCTTTCCTGAGAACTTGTGCTCACGCGGGGAAAGCGAAGATTTAGATTTACATAGATTCCTAACGATTCTGGCTTTGGTGGTCTGGACGGTCTGCTTGAATTGTGGTTCTGGGTCGATGGTTTAGCCGGCTTGGCCAGTCACTACACAAGGTAAACGATCTCGACTGTCCGAGCCAGACGGCTGTTGTCATGACGCGGTCTCTGAAGTCCAGAGCTGTGCAAGCAGCTGGATTTGGCTTGTCGAACGCACAAAGACGGCTCCCCAGACCGCACTCGCTGATACAGGCGATGTATAGAATGCAGAGCAAGGCAACAGAGGTGCCGTGGCATTCTTTCCATGCCTGAAGCTCCAGCATCTGCGCAGAGCCAGTCGGCCGTGCAGACACACACAGACACACAGACATCCTACACACACAGACATCCCAGAGCGGAAGCAGTGAAAATCAGCAACCAAGACCGCTTTTCCGAATTGTATGCAGCACCTAAAGACTCTACAAACCGTTACTTTTACTATGCTATGCTATGCTGTGAGTGCGTCTTCCCCGCAGCCTCCCCCGGTTGCTTGCGGTGGGGGTTCACAACTTGGTGGATCTGGGTTGCGGACTCTGCCCGAGGGGCTGTCTCTCTCTGAGCGCCCTCGCTCTTCACATCGGGCAGAAGAAGGAAACTTCTGTTCATCGAAACCTGAGGCGCCGGCTGGATGAGAGAAATGCGAGCACCGGGTCAGCAGGCTGGCATGTGGGAATCCACACGGCCCGGCATCCGCGATCTCTCGTCCATCTCTGTGCGGAAAAGTGGTCAGAGAGACTGCACCGGGCTCCCCTCAATTCAGGGGGAGCTTCCTCAGCCTACTTCTGACATCTTGAGACAAAATGCTTTCCAACCAGTCCGGACCAGGCGAGATCATAGCCAGTTCAACAATCCTAAGCATCTTGGGCACCAGAAGTCATGTCGGCAGCAGAGCTGCATGACTGCAGCGTGAAGAGGTCCAATAAGGAGTGCATCTGAACTACATGTCTAAGAGCAGTCCAACACTGGAAATCATCAGACCTGATCCGGCTCTGCAAAACAAAGCCACTGCGAGGGCATTCGGCCTTTGGCAGGCCCTTAAGCAATCTCCTCAGGCAAAGAGGGCCTCTTGACGCGCACCTGGGGACAAACCCTCTACCCGGCCGGCTGGCACCGTGCGCGCAATCAAGTTCCCAGAAGCCACACTGCAGTACCAGGTTCTCCATGTTACAGTACCGTTCCACCTCAGGCCCAGGCCATGATGAAGGCCGGATCCTTGATGATGGCCTTGAAGTCCGACAGCCCGCAGCGGCTTGTGAGCCTGATTTCAGACTTTTTGCCAGGCCCCGTTCAGGCCTCGGGGTCATGCTTGGTTTCTAACGGAATTAGAAGGACCTGTGGAATCTTCTGCTCTCCAAGCTCGAATGCCAAAGCAAGCAAGCTGTCAAGCAGCTGCAAGCGCGACAAGCCAAAACAAGCTTGATGGACTGCTTTTGCAACCCCTGAGGCCAGAGCGACCGCAACTCCTCCTCCGTCCAGAACTTGTAGGGAGTCTGGTTACCCGTCCCCATCCTTACAGCTCGTTGCGGTTCAGCTCAGTTGCCAAAAGAAGGCCGTGGCGAAAGACGCAAGATATACGCAAGACGCGAGCATCACCTCTCGGGCTCCCGACGTGCGCAGTGGCCCCCTTGGCATGAAGGTGGTCAGCACGAAGACGCCGCCGGGCCTTTTTGGGTCTTGGCTTGGCAACTTGCAACAAAATTTTCCGTCAGCTACTCCGAAACCAAGGGGACGTGTTAGGGCTTCTCAGACATACAAGTTGAAGGAGGCCTGTCTGACCTGAACGCATGTGGGGGTTGAATGCAGCGTTGGTGACAGTCGGCAAGCCTCAAGACGCGGGAGACTTCGGCGACAGCATTCTCCGGGTTGGGCCTCTCGTCACCAGATCAACGCAAACTGCACCCTTCTTTGTTGGAAAAGGGATGCAGGGGAATGCGATCTGCAACTCGCACGGCGATGATGCTTCAACAGAACCAAAAGGCTTTTTCGGATGTGCACTTGCATGTCCAACCCGCTCAGAGACCAAGGCTACTGCCAGCAGTGAATTGCAGCACCTTCCATCATGCATGACATTTTCAGGGTAAACATGGGTAAACTACCCGCCGGTTGATGCGAGGAACAAGCCAAGGCTTACAGTCATGCCCACTCACCCCAGCAAGGAACTCAAGCGACATGCGACAACGAAGAAAGCCTGCAACGCCTTTCGGGACCTTTAATTTCACTCTAGCACCTACATGATCACTCAGCAGAGACGAGGGCGACACCGGCGTGGACCCCACCCAAGGAAGCGGTCGCGAAGGGTAGCCGTGCCTTCATTGAAGCCGCTGAACGCACCCCATCCTCTCTCTAAACTTCGAGTGATTCGAGTGTGTGGTCTGCGCCATGAGAAGGCCCATGCTTCACATGACTAATTATGTGTGGTGTACCCCGTGCCTGATGTAAGCCATCATCGGGTCGCTTGAGAATCGTTGCTACATGCTATACTGATGCCCTGCCCGAACTGCACAAGGACAGATGACACTGATGACGCCCAGTCCGGGTTCCCTGCAATATCCGCCCTCACCAACTGCAGGGCTGTCTTGCCCTCACCGCCTTGGGCCTGCAGATGTCATGCTCTGCACCTGCCCTTCCACGCACAAGTCCACAAGCCACCAAGGCCCAGGACATAGTCGGGTCCAATCTCTTTCTTGGCAAAGTCGTCCACCTGAAACAGAGAGCAGTTCGAGGATCCGATTCGGGAAGGGGGGGGGGGGGGGGCTGCCCTGGAATGGCCGCCGCACTGCGGGGTCTCAAGTCAACGGAACACAGCATGCAGCACCTGCCGAAGCATCGACTCGCTGAAATCCAGGGCGACGACCTTTGGCTGCATGACTTTGGCTCAGAACTGTTCTGGGCAATTTTTGGGCAGCAGACGCGTGGACAGTAGGCGCCTCCTAAGTTTCCTAATTAATCCCCGAATTCCCGACGCATGGTGAGGTTCACCAGCTCTGCTCGGCTCTCCACGGGATTGATCGACTTTTTTCGAGGGCAGAAAACCAAGCTCAACCTTGCCCGAGCGGAACAACAAAGTCAAGTCGCGGTGGAGTAGTCGCCGGACGCGGCAAAGCGCCTGGCAGCAGATGAAAGGGATGCCCCGAAGCCGTGTACTTGTTGAGGCAAAGCTTCTTGCGCAGGTTCAGGCTTGCGAGTGTTTGGTTGAAAGGCTCAGGGCTGGCGGTGCATTGGTTGTACTAAATGACACCTGCCAATCCGCACAATGATAGGATGTGAATGGGGCAGCCATGCCCCACCATGATACGTAACGCCCATGTTACCAGTGCGTTGCACACGGCCAAAGCTGTCTCAAAGGCATCCGTCGACTGCTACTGCCACTGCCACTGCTCCTGCTACTGCTGCTACTGCTGCTACTACTGCTACTACTGCTACTGCTGCTGCTATTGCTTCTGATGCTACTGCTACTACTGCTACTGCTGCTGCTACTGCTACAACTACTGCTACAACTGCTGCTACAACTTCTTCCTCCTCCTCCCCCTCCTCCTCCCCCGCCTCCTGCTCTCCTCCTCCTCCTGCTCCTACTCGTACTCCTACTCTTACTCCCACGACCACGACTACAGTCCGGATGATGTCTTGACCCCCCCTGAACCCATAACTGGAAAACTTCCGACATCCTCCAATCTCGCCTGCTGAAAAGGCCTGACCCGCAGGACGCATCCAGCAATGTGTCCTGCTAAGGCCACCGGACTGTTGGTGTGGGGGTCGAAGCTCCCGTGTCAAGCAGCTAGCGGTGACTGCGAGTCGTGGCAAAGGGTTGAGCAAGAGGCCCCTCGCAAGCAGTATGCAACAGGTCATGAGAATTCCGAGTACTGAGTACATCGCGAGGTTTGGCAAGTGGTAGCTCAAGCTGATGCTCGAAAAGCGTTCTGCTTGCGAAGAGGTCCCCGAGGAGACCGGCACCCTCACGGAGGAATTCCTGCGCCTAAGTTAGCACTTTCTTGCTCAATAAAGAAGGCCAAAGACGTAGACTGTCGACTCGAACTGTAATGGCTATGAGGCGACGTGCAAAATTTAGACCTCGCCCTTGCTTTTAGTATAGCCGCTTGCGACCATGGCTGCAGATTAGCACTGTTTTTTGTGTGAGCTGTCTCGCCATTCTTCCGTCCATGATGCTGCAGTTTCTAATTGCGGTTTTGTGCCTAGCCGCCCTAACCAGCTGCAAGCTTGGTAAACCCGAGCCAGCAACTCAACACCACAACTGATGCCGCGCCGCAAGACGGAACTCTTCGTCCGGTCCGGGGAAGCCTGAGCCTGCCATCAGCTTACCAAGAAAATGATGGACCGTGATCTCTGCAGGGGTTAAGCGTTCAAGCACGGGGAATGAACATTTGTGAACGCTGAGCTATATCGCTTGGAGCCAATCTGCCCGTCCTGCTTTGGGTGCTTTAGGAAAAAACTGATGTTGAAGGCGCCAATATGTATCCCGGAGAACTCCGCACCCGTAAGTCTGGGAACCCCGGCTGGCAAAACTTCTACGCCAGCCGCGCTCGTAGGCGAAGGACACCAGCCTGGGAGCGCGTTTAGGGTCCGCAATGGCTAACACCGGCTCACCATGTGCACTCCATGTGCACTCCAAGCATGAAAAGCCAGCCCTGCCTGCTGAAGAATCATGCTTGGAGAATTGTTTCGCACAGCACATGCACAGCCATGCCAAGACTCTTAAGACCAGCTCTGAGATCCTGGCGGGCTCTGGAACGTGGAAGTGCCAGCTGGCTGCAAAGGGCCGCTCAGCCTGCTGCAGGCGTTCCGTTTCCATGGAGAAGCCCTTGCTCCAAGCAGCACTTGAAAAACATATAAATGTAAGGGACACGTGAGGGCCGTGAGGGCTTCTTGTACATGCCCAAATGCGATCGGATGCCTACGAGCTTGCACTGCAACCTCAATAATTTATGCCCCTGGACAACGAATCGCACCAACACCAGTAGCAGATATCATGATATCAACTGATGCAACCTAACAATCCCAATACACAATCCAAGAATCATCCCCATCCAGTCACGAAAGAACCCCTCCAGTCAGCTTCATAGGTTTGGGAATCGGGAGGATATGTCGGGTGTGACTGAAACATGCAGCAACTGTACTTCCTCTGTGCGCACACAGGACAGGCGTGAAAAAGCCGCCGTTGCATATTGCTCTGAACGATGAACACAAATTGCTTAGTCGCGGACAGGCGCTGGGGCTCCTTCAGGAGTTCCCTGCCTTGGCTACTAGACTTTTGACGCTACACGTCTGGTTCTAACGGCTTGGGATTGGATGGCGTTCGACGCTCACGCTCGCATGGGCAGGCAAGGCCTTGTCTCTTCGGTTTGCTCTGGGCGGATACTCCGTTTCACATTCAGATCCTGACATTACTTGCACAAGGGCCACGAAATCAGGAATGCTCGCGTTGGGACCCCTTCTGGTCGCCTGGCTTTAGATTTGAACTTAGTTCACTCTGAGACTTGCGGGCCGGTTGTGGCGAGGCTGTGCAGCAAGTGGGCCTGCAAAACACATCAACTCGTTTGTCCCCCCAAATCTAGTCGGGGTACCCAGCTTCTCGACTTCCTGGCTCTGGGGAAGGCCCAGCCTCCGGCTCAGATGCATCAATCCACACATATGATCACTAGTGAGTAGAGCTGCTCAAGAGAGTCCTATTTCGGGATCTCATGAGGACGCGGCCGCTGTTGAACAGTCGTCAAAGCATTGCAATACCAGTCGCGAGGCTTCGACACGCGCCATTCGTACTGCTGCGCTCCCCAGTCTGAGGAAGCAGCGCGCCGGCGATGGCATCTGTTTGCTCCACGAAGGGCAGGCGCCTTGAAGCCATGAACGCTTCGTGAAGCACAGGCCGTGCACCGTTCAGTCTGACGATGCTCCCCTAGTTTGCCTTTTCCGGGATGTTACTGTTTTCGGATGCATAGCCCATAAAACCTTGTTGCACAAGCAAATTAGCCTTAACAAAGTGAGCTTTTTTTGGTGCGAAAAGTGCGATCTAGCCGAATCTAGCAATGAAAGACATCCCAGCCACGCAGTCCCGTAACGTCCGTAACAAAACAGCTCTGTTTTGATACTCTCAAAGAAACAGCATGAGCTGTCCGATCAGCACACAGCACACAGCAAAATGGCGGTGTCTTCAAATGCTGACCGCTAAGAAAAAGGATACCCTGTGGAGTTCTCTGCAGGATTAGCGTGATTCTCTGCCCTCGGTGGATTGAGGTTCAGGGTTCAACCTTTAGGGGAAAGCTTGCCACGGCAGAAGGGGTGGGCAGTCCGAGCGTGTTCACGCGTGATCTTTGGCCCTTTTGCGGGACTGTCTGGACTCGGGGTATGCGCTCAGGGATACTCTGCAATTTTCACGGCATTTCCGTTGGTCTGGACTGCAGGGAATGCTTTGCAGGATTCCGTGGGCCGCCACAGGAAAGCCAGACCCATCCAACATGAAAGGAGACAAGGCAGCCCATGCTGGAGGGAGACGAAGGGAGACAAGCGGAGACACGAGCCACGGGAAACCCGGCGGACCCATCCCACATGGGAGAGCCACAAACCCGGCAGACTAACACGCAGGTGCATGAAACCAAAACACCCAGTCCATGTTCGACAGCAACCGCCCCCTCCCCAGCCCAACTGCAAAGGGCCTCAATATCGACGGCTGCTCCACTTCCTGGGCTGTAGCCTCCGGCGGGGCCTGCCAAGAAACATGATGTTTTGCCCGCAAAAAGCGAATGAATTTCAAGTGCGCCCTTGAACTTCCTACCGCTTCAGTCGGCACCGCAAAGCCTCGCCTGACATTCTCTTTTTCACGTCTCTTGCACTATGAGATGCAGGCGGCTGCTTTGCAGGAGCCAAAAAAAAGTCGAGAATGTCTGTGTCTGTTCAAACTGCAGAGAGCAGGGTCAATGGGGAGCATGGTCGGATGTCTGAATCAGGTCATTCCTGCTCTGTTCCTGCTGACGAACTGAGAGATGTCGCGGGCGCCCTAGCTCTCTGCATGGCCACGAGATCAAGCCTAAAAAACAACACGCTGGACGAGAGCACGAGCACCAGCGTAAGTCATCGCGGGCGCTTACCCCTGACGCTGCCGCGCGGCATCTTGCCACCCGGCGAGCTTGGAGCCTTGCCAGTGCCAATACCATGAGGCTCATCCAGCAAGTAGCTCTGCATGGTCCTCTGTGTTCCAGAGCAAGCCACGACCTTGTGCTCTGTGAAGCGGAATTGCTGAAATTTGGACTGAATCACCTCCACAAAAGTTGCGCTGCAGCAAATGCGCCCGGGTTGGCCTTCCGACTCCATCTGGTTGCCAATGAGCACATCCTCACCCCAAATGTCGAAGCGAAGCTGATTGCTGCCAATGACACCAGCAACAAATTCACCATGGTGCAAACCAATTCGCATATCAAGACCGTCATGCTGAACTTCATTTCGAACTGTCACGATGACCCGAAGCATCGACATGGCAAGATGCAGGAGCACGTTTGCCCCAAGCACCTTGTCCTCATGCACCGTCTTCGGTTCGTTGACCGCCAGGTAGGCATCTCCAATCGTGCAAACCTTGTATGCACCTAGGAGCTTGCAGCAGTCATCGAACCTTGCAAAAAGATGCGTGACAAGCCTGACGGCTTCATTCGCCTGATGCGTAGCACAATACTTCGTGAAGCCCACAATGTCGGCGAAAAGAAGCGTCATGTCCCGGTAGGTGTATGCCAGCTGCAGATTGTCTGACTGCATTGACTCCAGCACCTCCTGGGGCAGCAAAGAATTGAGTAGAGAGTAGCACTCTTTGTGCTCCTTCTCCACCATCCTCAAGCCCTCGAGGCTCTTGAGCTGATACCACTTTAGGCTCTGAATGACACGCACTTGTAGGATATAAGCAGCACTTGGATAGATAAGCCCAGATGGGAAGTCGGCTAGGCCCCCAAGAACTGTGGCTGGCAGGAGAATCGCGAAAGCACACGCAAACGCGGCCAACGTTGCCCGCAGCACGTTCAGATGCATCATGGCCGAGAGGTAGAACATCGACTCGAAGTAGATCCAGTAGCTGACTTCCTCAAACCGTCCATCTGCCAGGCCGTACAGAGACGATGTGACAGCACAGATGTACCCTGTACCAATGAGCACCACAGATATGCCGAAGTAATAGACCTCACATGGCCAGCCCCGCCTCTGTGCTTGTGGGTTGGTGTGCTCCTCCTCTTCCTCCACCTCAGAGACCTGGTCCAAAGCGGTGGCATCTGCATCACTGATGTCCCTCTGGTCAGAATGTTGCTCTTTCTTCTGCTTCGCATCCCCCCCTAGCAGGAAAAGTGAATGCCAAAAGGTGGTGATGCCACCAAGCATGATGAAGGCGAAGCAAATTACTGCGAAGGGTAGGCGAATGTTGAAGAACTGCTGCAGATTCGCGGCACGAGTGCCTGTGTCGCCAATCCATATGTACAATGACTCCAAGCAGAAAATGCACCAGAACAGCACAAGAGATGCCAGCAGCGAATGCTCTTGCTTCGTCTTCAGGCAGTCTAGCTCATATGCCCGCACGCAGAAAGAGACAAATCGCTGGATGGCCTCCGCAAGCCGTGCCCGCGACAGCATCGAGCAGAACGTCTTTGGGTCTTCGCTGGGCAAAAGCACGTCAGGACCCACATTCACCATGCTCCCTTCTCGGGGCGCGGACTTTGCCCGGTTGAGTGGAGAGATTGTGCCAGAGACCAGCCTCCGACGTGAATCGTTCATCAGCAGGTAGGTGTCCATCTCACCCTTGCCTTTCACCGTTGTCTTCCTTCCCTTCCACGCGTATTGTTCCTCCTCTTTCACCAGATCGTATGTGCTAGCAGAGATGTGAATGTGATCCACCTGTCCAGTGCTCATCATGCGCGATGCTGTATTCACCGTGTCACCGAAGAGAGCAAACTGCGGCTTCTGAGAACCGACCACGCCTGAGATCACCTGGCCCGTGTTGATGCCGATCTTCAATGAGAGCCGCTCCATCTGCTCCATTCCAGTTGTGCACCTCGTGAAGAGCCGCAAAACGGCGCTTGCAGCCTCTACGCACAGGAAAGCTTTCATCTGGACGGTGTTCCGAGGCGACTTCTTCTTGAAATCGACCATGCCTGCAGCCACAAAGGTCTTCCCCACAGTCTCGATCTTCACGATGGAATGCTCCTGGCAGATATTGTTGATCTGCGTGAAAACCCGATCGAGCAGCTCCACGAGTTCATTTGGAGCCAATTGCGCCACGATCCGCTCGAAAGCATAAATGTCGATGAAGACGATGGTGACAATGCCACGCTCTTGGAAGATTGTTCTTGTCGTGGAAACCGTCTGTTCTGCCACGTTGATCTGCTGCTGGTTGCTGAGGAAGCTCTCACGAACAGCTTCCACGACATCTTCAGGATACATCCCCTTGAGCAGATCCCGGTCTGCGTTTCGCGCACTGCCGATGCGATCGTCCCAGGCGAAGCTATGACGAGCAAATCGCTCTGAGAGGTACATGTATGCACCGACAAGCATCACCAAACCAAACTGGATCGTAGAAAACTCATGTAGCAGTTGTCCTTCATCATTGCACACATTGACATCCAGTGTCGTGAAGCCACCTCCAATTTTGCAGGTTTCATCGTTCAGGAACCCATTGGAATGAACGATCAAGAGCAGCATATGTAGAAACAGGACCCCGATGGCCTGCGGAAATCGCATGCGTGCACCGGCACAGAAGGCAAATGGCATAATGGCATCTGAAACATAGCCGGGAATTCCATAGGCAAACTCAATGACGTGCTTCAAGATGAGCAGGCAGCAACAGCAAACGGTCAAGTAACTCGCATGGAAGGCACTGATGCTCTCGAACCGTAGTGGGACCAATAATGCTTCGCAGCCAAGCACGAAGCCGGCGATAGCCACCAGGCTCTGAAGCACTTCCGACAGCTCCCCAGGCTGGACCACGAAGACCAGCAGCTTCGTCACCTGGAAGCCGACGAGAAGCACTGCGAGGACCCGTGCGGACACGAAGAACTGATTGCGACTCGCTTCGTCGAACATCTGGCAGAAGGCTTGCTCGTGTAAGCTCGACCTGAATTTCAGGGTGAAAACGTTGTAAACGAACTCGGTCGTGTACTTCACATTGAAGCGGGACTGTGCCTTGTGCTCCATGGGGTGACCCGTTGTGGTCGCAGTCGTGCTGTGCTTCCGCTGGTCAGTGATCTGATCCAGGTCCAACAGTTCCAGCTGCATCCCTGTCACGTTCGACAGCCGCTCTGCGAGAGTGAGATTGCTGGTTGCATCCCGCTGCTCATGTGACGTCTTGTTGCCGAGCACGTCGGACATCAAGCTGATCTGACACCACTGCATCTGACTGATGATCCTTTGCCACTCCTTGGCTCTCTTTCCACAGCATGCTGTAGGATCCGGTGCAAGTTCATCTTCCCGGCGGTGACGGTGACGTTCCATGATCAACTGCAGGCCAGGCTTCTTCGTAGGGGGATGGCTTGCATGCTTCGTGAACTCCTTGAGCTGCGCTGCCTCAGCTTGAAAGTCACCCTGGTTGTAGTTACTGCGTTTGTAACTCCAGGGAATGGAGTTCACCAGTGCGGCTGGAAACATTTTCTCCATTTTCAAGTTCGCTGCGTAGAGGAGTTCGTCCCGGGTGTTGTAGGTAGTACCCGTCGGCGAGGTTGGCGAGACAGGGGAGGAAGGAGGCTGGCGATTTGTTGGGACGATGGGCACGAGGCTGCTGTCGGTGCCTCGGTGCGATGGGTTCGGAAATAAGTCGTGAGCCTCACCCACGTACTTCTTAGTGCACTGGAACTCCTGCACTTGCTTTGCGAGGTCTGGCTTGTAGATCCGCTGCCAGGAATCCAAGGCCAACTCCACCAGCACGGACAAGGCTAAGACTAGCAGGAGGCTTAGCCATCCTGGCAAAGACTGGAACAGATGCGCTGCTACTTCCACCAAAGACGGATTGAAGATGCGGGCAACACTGGGCCAAGAGTAGATGAACAAGATCGGCGGGAACATTATCACGGAGAGCACCGAGATCAGCACCTGCCAGTCCATCCAGACTTGCGTGTGGAGCAGAAGGGTTGAATTTGACACCACCACACAGCTCCAATACGACCAGGCACCAAGGGTCGTGTAGTCTGAAAAAGGACTCGCCCAGCCCTCCCAGCCGCCCAAGAAGACGGCAGCGACAAAGTAGTTCACCAGAGCATGAATTGTCCCACGCAGGAGCCAAGCAACCAGCATCCGGTAGTTGAAATAGACCTTGTTCACGCCAAAGAGATACAGCTTTGGCAACGTCAGGGCTGCGGGGGCATAGACATCCACGTCCAGCGCTCCTACAATAAAGATGGGCAGGTTGGTGAACACCACGTTGTACATCATGATCAGATACGGATTGTAGAAGGTGGTTCCGCTGAAGCCGGTGAAAGGAGCGTAGCAAGCCATGGTGATTACAAGCAAAAAGTTCTTGTAGAAGGAGTAGCCTATCACCAAACCAATCCGGCGAATGTTGCTCCGCCCGTGCACGAAGAGGAGAGACCTGAGAAAACGGAATTGTCCAATCGCGAAGTCTGCGGCATTCACGGCCTCGCGTCCTTCAGCTCCGGCAATGCCAACCCCGACATGCGCCTTCTGAATCATGCTGACATCGTTGCCCCCATCCCCCACAGCCAGAGTCAGCGGGTTTCCTGGCACATCTTTCTTGATAAGTTCTACCAGGGAAGCTTTCTGTGCCGGAGACAGTCGGCAGGCAATGACCGAGCAAGAATTGCAAGCCACAGTGACGAAGAGCTTATAGAGGAGTGTATCTGGCGCCTCGAGAATGGCGTAAAGCGCTGGGCCATTTAGGACCAGGCTATAGTGAAAGCCTTTGCCATGGGTCTGCTGCAATTCGTTCAAGATCTCCTCCTGGATAAACCTTAGCCTCTCCTCCAGCTCTAGGGCGCTCTCAGAGTCGCGCTCGCGGGCAGCGCCCTCCTCGCAAGTCAGGTAGTACAGCTGGGAGTGCTGCTCGATGAGGCTGCATATACTGGCGATATTTACCGCCGTCTCGACGCAGTCACCTGTGAGCATCCAGATGCGCATGCCACCGTCCAGCAACATCTGAACTGTTTCCGGAACCCCGAACTGAATCTTGTCTTCCACAGCCGTGACCCCCAGCAAGTCGAAGTCACGTTCCATGTCGTCCATGACTCGATTCATCAGCTCATCTCGATTGAAGAAGGAGCTCCTGGCACCCTGCCAGCGTTTGATGTAGGCTTCGGCTTCGGCATCAGGAAGCACTCGTTGTCCACAAACCAATGTCCGCAGTCCATGCATGGAAAAGTGTCGAACCTGCTCCCTTGCAGTTCGAAGCTTCTTCTTGCGAGGACACTCTTCGGCTTCACCGGAGTCATAAGTGTTTTCGGGGCCGTTTCGTGAGCACCAGCTCATCAGCCCAGCACTTCTGGTTGGCATCTCAAACTTCGCGCTCAGCCGCGAATTTTCATCCGTCTCCAGCATGGCGGGTGCGCCGCTGGGCATCGGCGGATCTGCAATGGACCGTGCCGAGAGGCCTGCCGAGGAGCATGGGGATGGTGCTTTCGGACGAAGCCTCCCTTCCGACCCAAACTGTCCAAGCTGTGCAGACCCAGAGCCCATGGCTGCTGCCAATGCCAGTGCCCGAGCACCTCTGACCTTGCCCCTGCCGTCACCACTTTTGGGACTCGCCTGGCTGAGCTCTTTGAAGTCTTCATTGGAACGGTCTGCATCCAAGGACATCGCATGTGTCATGTCATCCAAACCATCGAAGTCGGCCATGACCGGCGGCGGACGCTCACCCTCTTTCTGGCGCATCCGATCCAACATGACAGAGTCCGCACCCTTTGCGAAGAGAATGTAGGCGCCTTCGGACACATGTGGGAGGTTCTCCATAGACATAACACCCGCGTTGCCGAGCAAGATGCTGCTGGCCATTGCCTGCGATGTCTGTGGCATGACACCCTCCTCGGAGCATTGGCGCACCAGAACAGACATCCGCTTCCGCTCTGACGAGAACTCATTACACATGATGACCGTGTAGTGTTGCTCCTGTCCACGGATGTTGATCGTAACTTTGTTGCCCTGTCGCTTCTTAAAGTAGAAGCCAAAGTCGCGTGCCATTGACAGCAAGGCCTCTTCGTCCGGAGACTGGCTGCGAAACTGGGTCTGATTTGCCTCGATGAGTAGCTCCATGCGCTGTCGAACTTCCTGTTGGCTGAGCCCGTTCATGCCTGGATCATTTTGCATCACATACTCAATGTCAGCCAGGGTCTCCATCTTTGATGTGCGCTTGCCAGTCGGCGAGAAATTGAGCTGTTGGCTCTTCTCGGGCATTGCAGTGTGGCAGGTGGCGAGACACAAAAAGAAACTGTGAACATTGGACTCGAGGCTGTAACTCCAATGCGGATCTTCATCGCTGGGGATACCCCATAGCAAAGGATTGAGTGGCCAGCACACACTACGCGTGGGGATTTTTTCGATGTGGTCACTGGGATAACCATAGCTGTCTTGCACGAGGCTTGCAGCATCTGTCGATTCATCGGCCGTAGGTGTCCAGTAGCCGTACGTTTGACCATCCACGTAGCAAGCCTTGAAACACATCTCGTTCTGTGTCAGCGTGCCCGTTTTGTCAGTGAGGACGAAATCCACCATTCCAAGATCTTCGCATAGAGCAGAAGTTCGGACTGTACAATGAGATCCGCCTTGGGCATGGTACATGCTTTCATCTCTCTCCATGATGAAAGCTTGAATCGCACGGACTACATCTGTTGTCATGTATAAGCTGATTGGGATGAGGTTGTTGTAGCCAATCAAGAAGGTCAAAATGGCCAGGTAGGGGTTGTCCTGCAAATTGTCCACGTTCTCAAAGTTCTCAACATTCCACACCCATCTCAAATTCTGGAAGCCAGCAGCATCTCCAAGGAGATTTGCTCTTGCAATTGCACAGCCGATGGAGATCAGGAAAAGCAACAAGAAAACAATTATCAAAAGCTTGTTGGACATGATCTCCACCTGGGAGCGCTTCGTCGAGCTGGAACGGCTTGAATTCCTAACCACTTTGGTGTCGTTGCCCGTGTACACCACGAGCCCGATGACGTAGTTGGTGTTCCTGATGGTCGATCCTCGAAGTAAAAGGTTTTTCAGTCCCACTGGCACTCCTCGAGGGAAGCCTTTCAGGTAGAGACAACCGTCAAAACGTCCAACGAGCTCATTCGGCAAGTCAGCTTCCATATGCCCTTCTACACTGCGCAGCAAAGTGTTCTTCACCATGTGGTGGGTCTCGTCTACACACTGTTTCAGCTTCAAGGAAGACTCCCCATCCAGCTGCGCAGTGTCCACACAAGCCACAGTACCTGGATAAGCGTAGACCAAAAGCATGTCTGCAGGTACAGGCTGGTCTCGGTAGAGCTTCACGAAGGACCCAACCTGCGAAAAGCTGAAGAAAGCAAGCCCTCCCATCGTGTAAACCTCTGCAATCCCTCGACGCCAGACTCCATTAGATTGGCCCGTAGTTACCGTTACAGTTAGCTAGTGCAAGCTGAACGGCTCTCTTTAAGTCATTTAAGTTAGACCTTTGTGAACTTCTTTGCTACAAGGCCAGACGGCTGGAGAGAAACCAAGGTATCATTCTTTCGCAACACATCTAGCATAGCTATGGGCCATGGGAATAGTTGGTTGCACATATGATCAGAGTTCATCCGAGAATGTCTTGCTTCATCGGGCCGGTACAGGTTCAAGTGCTCCTAGTTCCTACTTCTTTTTGCTGCATGGATTCTATTGACTCAACGACTCTTTAAGTCTGTCCCGCTACCTGCACTTCGGACCACTTGATCTCCTTGTAGGCATCTCGGTTCGATTCCCGCGCGTTGCGGTTCAAGTGCGGGGCGAATACAGAGCAAAGCTGCTGGTTCACACGGCAGTCATCTCTCCATCTTTTAAAGTCCTCAAACGCATCCTTGCAGAAAGTCGCGATCAGCACGACGCACAAAGGCACGAGAGTCGCCCAAGAGGTGGTCGGTGAGATCTTGAAAGGCAACATCTGCAGGATGGAGACGATGAGGAACCAAACATTGGCAACACGGTGAAACTGTTCGAACAAGTTCAATGGAATGATTGTCCATAGCTTGTACCTGGTGGTTGAGACATGGTTGTTGGGAAAGGCTGAAAGCTTTGGCTTGTTGACGCCAAAGGCAATGCGCCTCCGTTTCTCATGGGAGCGGTTCTGGGCTCCCTGGGATGGTCCAACTGCAGAATTGCCCACTCCGAGTGACGCCTCCTCCACAGCGGCCATATGCTCCCACACCTGACACACCGAACCACCCGAGCCAAGGTCACAATGGATCCATGGCTGCCCCACTGTTTTCGACTCTGCTAGGCCAACTTGCCAACAATGACGACTTTGAACATGTTTTGCGGTCTGGGAGTGCTGAGTTGGGAGTGCTGGGAGTGTTCTGCGATGACACGTGCTGCGTTGACAGAGCTCTCTTGCTTTACTGCACCAGCTGCATCAGTACCCTGTTTTCAGGGCTTGAGCCTGAACTGGACGTTGGAAAGCACTCTTCAAAAAGGTGCATGCAACCATCCAGACTCCTTCGGCAAGTCTGACGCTGGAAGCCCAAGACGTTTGCGCGACATGCTCTGGAGTGCGCCTGGGCGTCGCGCACCTCCTCAGGACTCAGCACAAAGAAGAGTTCCAGGCAGTGGCTGACAGATGTGAACAGATGCACGCCGCGCTACAAACCGTGCCCGGCGGTTTCCACGCTAGTGATCCACAATGCCATGCGCATTTTGACAAAGACTTCTTTGCCTTTCATCAGTCCAAATAGCAACAAATATCAAAGTATGACATGCCCAGCTCCTCGGGTCTCTTTGCCGAGGCAATGGTCAGATCCTGGCTGGTCTGAGCCTAAATTTTTGCCTACATGACGACATGTCAACCCATGCTCCCATCATGCTCCCATGTTCTCCTTGTCCTGCTTAGGGGTGCTTAGGGGGCCAGGGGGTGGAGCCTTGCTGCCTCAAGCGCATCATCCTCAATGCCCCATGAACCTGCTACAACTGGCCGATAAGTCGTCCAGTGGGGGGATTTAAACTTCGAAGAACTGCCCACTATCTATGCCTCAACATAAGCACAGCCTCGACTAGTGGCGCTGCGATGGAGATCTCAAATTATGCTGAGGAAGCCGCCAGGAAGCCCCCAGATGCCCGTGGAAAACCCAGGTCGCAATGCTTGCACCTTGGGTGTTGTTCGTTCGGGCTTCTGCTTAATCAAGCCAAAGATGGCTAACAGCAACTGCTACTTGCTAGAAGCCTGCTGAACGCCTCAACACTCAAATACATTTGCAGGAGCATCCTGATCCCAGCCAGGACAAGGTGCACAGCCCCGCCCGCCACAAACTCCAAGGGTCGCTGGCAAACAGGGCAAGCCTGGCATTTAGCAACAGATCCAATATCTCGGTTGGAAGGCTGGAGCCAAAGATCTTGCATTCAGGGGTTTCTCTGCTTAGCTTGTAACAAGACATGTGGCGGGACCAGAGGAAGCCCGCGCGGAGTCTGTGCTAATAGTTTTAAGCGCTCACAACTGGCAGGAGTTATTTAATGCCGAGGCAGGACGGTCCACAGCTCCAAGCCTAAAGTCTTCGAATCATGGTATGGTATTGCACTCAAAAGCTTCAAGTGCAGGTGTGAAGCCTTGTTCGATTTTCTCAGCTCATGGGCATCTGAGGAACACAAGCCCAAGATGCGCAGGGCGGTGCCGGCGGTGCCTCTGCCTCAGGGGACAACGAAATGCAACAATGGCGTCAAAACGACCCACCCCGTAAATCTCAGACATCCTTGCACTCAAGCATGGTTGGAAAGAAAGAAAGAAAGCAAGGCCTCCACACTCCTCGAGGTGTCCTCAACGTCGACAGCCTCACAGCATGGTTGCCAAGTCTAAAGTGGGTGCAGGCGACATCATGTTGTGCTCAGTTTAGTTCCGTTACCCCTAGTAAGCTCGTGGGCCGGGATCCCCAGGCCAAAATGCCCAAAACTTAACACCAAAAAGAGAACTCTTGAGGTCTGTTTGTCAGCTGCTTGTCAGCTGCTGAGCCAGAAGTCTCAGGTCTGTGCCCGAAAGGGTACCGGTGCCACTCAGGCACCAAAACAGCGCGACATTCCAAACCGAGGCCCGAGACTAGACCCAGCATAATACAGACACTCCCCGTCCGAGCACTCCTTATCTCCCACCCTGTATGTGGACAGAGGGCAGAAGGGCAGGGCCTGAACCGTCGGTGTCGCAGTCGCAGCTCTCTTGGAAGTTTCGCGCCCTTGTATGTGCCAAGAGCTCTGACCAGCATCTCTCTGGGCTGCTTGCATATTCAACTCGTGTGTTCTTGTAATTCTAAAGCTCTTGTCCAGCTAGAAGCAATGTTCGGCTGATTTCGGCTGTCCATGATGCGACCGAGCTTGTGACCTCGATTATGCGCCGACGCCTCACAAAGATGATCCCGACTTAGGTTCGGAGTTCGGGCAAGCAGCTCGCTTTTGGGGACTTTTTGGGAAGTTTGCACCTGTGAGGCAGCACGACCATCCTCTAACCGACTCTAACCAGGCACCTGCTCCACAACCTGTCCAGCTAGTCAACATCAATGCAACCGCCGGCACGATCCTCTCACAGTCATCACATCACGCTGCCCTGCAGAGCACCAGTCCCTAAGACCAGCCTCCACAACCAGTTCACACCCAGAAAGCAATGGGTGACTCCCAGTTACCTGACTAAGCCTATTTGTGCTACAGCATCTTTACACTCCAAGCGCAGGGCCAACATGCCAACAAGGCCACCTGCAAGAAGCCTCAATTTCAAGTAAGCATGCGCGTAAGTCTCCAATGGTCGGGGGTTGATCCGGTGCTCTGGACTTGCGGGGAGACTAGTGAAGTCAAATGCTGAAAAAAAAACTGCAGAGTACAACCACGGTTTCGGAGGGTGGGACATTATCCCGACAACTGGGTACAAGGCGTCAGGCTCGGCTGGTCCGCTCGTTGCTGTGTAGGCTGACCTGCTCGTCGGCTGGGAATTGAAAAGACGTTGGGCTATCGACCCCTCAAAGCATAGGCAGCCCTTTCCACAAAATTCGATGTATTGTCTGCGGCGGCTCGTTCAAAAGAGTTGCCAGGCTTTGACGTGTCTCACATCCAACAACCACAGATGAAGGGATTGCCTGCAGACCCAGCAACACGTCCTCGGAGATGCGTCGCAACCTGAGCAATGCCACAGAAGGTCGATGCACGAACCTGAAGCCTTCGAGCTTGAGCGAAAGAACTTGGAGCTTCACGACCTGTATCGCAACAATAGTGCACTTTCATTCCACGTGATGAACCATGGGCAAAACCTGAACAGAGGCAGCTCGCAACCCAGTCATACACCAACGTACCGGAACCTACCATGCCCAAGGACACAGAACAATGTCGGGCGGATCTTATTCCAGAACAGAACCACCCACCAAGCCTCGGAACACCGACCTACTGCAATCGGTAAGCCGTGGTCTCAGGCACCAGTGTGGCTTTCCGTGTCTGTGTGATTCTGTGTGGCCGAGGAGGCCTTCACTTCGTGCGGGGCCCTGTGGAACTCCGCCTTGATCTGTCCCAACTGCGCATCCTCTGGTGGCAGTTCGAGAACTGCCCCCAGGATTGCAAACTGGCTCGTTGGGACAGAAAAGGCTGCCTCGGAAACATTCGGAAACTCGCTTCTCTTTTCTGTCTATATACACAGGCCTTCTAGGCGTTCAAACGTGCCGAGGGTTGTCGTAAAGGACAGCAACAGCGACGGAAACCCCCTCTAAAAACCCTACGACTGCAAGTGTGAGAATGTGTGAGAGAGAGAGGATGCTGAGGATGCTGCTCTGACACCGGGCGTAACCGGATGTTTGAGCAGCATGGGCATGGACCACAAGCTGCTGTGGGGCGTGCCATCTTACACGATGTGCATGAGTGAGTCGAATGAGGGAGTAGGAACAGTGTAGTTGTCCCACCCGATGACACCCGCAACCTGCTCAGTTTAGCAACGCTGTCTGATCCCTGGACTTAACCCCGCCGGCTCCAGCTGCTCCAATCGATCCTTCACTCAAACCCTTTTTGCGGAGGCCTGCCACCACACTGCACAGCACCCCGGGGCGGGGTGCTGGGCTTGGCGATTTAAAGCGCCCGACTCCGAACGGATCCCAAACATTCGCCCTGCCTGCTTTGCAGATGTATGGCTCAATTCGGCTATCAGGTGCCCGGTCGCAGCTTAG